CCCTCTCGCCTTCCAAAGCTCTGCTTCCCGCGCACGGCTTTTCTCCGCTTCAGGACTGGCGTGGATTGAACCCAGGAAAATCTCGTTTGCTGAACTTCCGAGACGGACGTTTGACCTGCCAACACCCAGCCGCGCCCGACAGCTTTACCAGCGCTCTGCTGTAACTGCCCGTAACAGGCATCCCCTACAGCCACCGCACAGCTTCGCAAGACACGGAGCTACAGCCGGAATTCCACCAACCAGCTAAACTTGCACACCCAGTGGCAGTTTTCCAGCCACTGGGAATTTCTCGGCCCACTCCACCGCTGTAGGCACCGCTACGCAACGGTGCTGACAAAACCCTTCATCTGTGGGAAACAACGTAATAGGAATGACGGGATTTTCTTTCATGGGTTTCTTGTTCTTGTCGCGGCTTGAAACACACCTGACCACCGTGTAACTCCTCACCCACCAACGCACGTGCTTCCCTCGCTGGTCTGGTGCAGGGACAGGCACTCGGTTACGGCACCGTGGTGCCAGGCGTCAGCACCGTCACCTGGTTCCTCCGGGGTTTCCTCCCGCACCGAATCCTTGCCGCCGGGAGCTATGGATCACCTTTCACTCTGCCCAGGGGGCTCATGCCCACGGGTTCAGTCTCTGCACGCCGAAGTGCTTCACGTGCACAGCAGGGAGCGGCAGGCATCGGAAACCACGAGCACCGGACTGTCTGCAGGCTGAAGGTAACATCCCTTCAGCAACCAAACTGCCGCCTCCAGTTGGCACACAGCAGAGGAGACCAAAGCAGAAACACCGACCAGCAGTTCTAGTACTTGAAAATTTTATTTTCTCAAATGAGCACCAACACATATTGTAAATATGACAAACAATACGCCTCCCTCTAATACTGAAGAACTATATACAGTGTACAAATACATGAAAAGGTGAAAACCAATTATCTGAAAACGAACATTGCATTTATTACTTAAGCAAATGACCTGAAAGAATACGCCAAAAAAAAAAAAAAATTTAAAATAAGATCAAAGAAATAAAAGTATACACAAATTGTAAACACAAGAGCATCCACGGACAGGCTGGTATTGGAAATCTTGTCCTTTCGTTTTGTCAGTGGGGAAAGCATTCCCATTTCCTTGTGAGAAACAAAACAAAGGATACACACAGTTCGTAACGACGAGAACAGCGTATTTGTGGCTGTACCTTACACAATGCCATTCTGCTTGCATTTAAATATGGGTTATTTTCTGAATTCAAGATGATTTTGTTTCCCCTCTTCTGGTTATTCTTCTTAAACAGGATTCCACAAAATCTCTGTCCAACGTAATTGTTTCTGAGCATTTCATTTCGGAGGCCTCTCACCTGGTGGGAAGAGCTCCTTCCCACTGAGCTGAGCTCTGGTTCTCGCCCATCCCTTCACCCAACCGGGTGTTCGGGCGTCATCTCTGCCTTCACGAACCGGTTCAGACGGAAACACGACGC